TTAATGAAAACTATTAAATTTATTATTGAATAAGACAAAATCTTAATAAAGACACTGCTGTTACAACACCTGCTGGTATAGCAGCGTATAATATTGGTGGTTTGACTATTCATAGATTGCTTCAATTACCCGAACATAGTCATACTCCCAAGTATAAACAACTATCTGATCATGTGCTGAAAGTTTTAAGAGCAGATCTCAAAAATATTGTACCTTTATAATTAATGAAATTTCAGTAGTATTCAATTTAGCTGTAATATATATATATATATATATATGTTTGCAATTATCTGTAATATTTAACACTGGTAATTGTGACGATGGTTGATTTGGACGAAACATTATTTTGTTATAGATAACCTATGAGTACCATACTCCACGAATCCCATATAATTGGCGCCATCATTTTACCGTCTGATGGAACAGTTTTCGCCTTCTTTGGATTACTTCCATTCGATTTCACTCATTATTTGGACTGTTGTTTCGTCTTTGGCATATAATGGTGAATCCATATTTCATCAATAGTGATGAATCATCGCAGAAACTTGATTAGATTGCGTTTAAACATGTCAAAGTATTCCTGAGAAATGTTCATTCAAATGCTTTCTGATCGACTATTAGTAAACGCGGCAATCATCGCACTGAAAGATTTTTTATATGCTAATGTTCGTGCAAGTTGATGTGAACACGATCTATTGAGATGTTTGCAATGTCAACAAGCTCACGCATTTTTACTCGTTGATCACTAAACACAACATTGTGAATTTTTTTAATGGTTTTTTTACTCATTGCAGTTTTTGGGCGACCTAAATGTTCATTGTCAAAAATGGACGAACGACTATGTTTGAATCAGCAGCCCATTTCTTTACTGTTAAAAACGACGGTGAAGAGTTTTTAAAAGTAGACTCTAGTTCGCTTTTTTATTTTCGTTGGTGTGAAAATTTTTAAAACGTAATATTTTATCACTGCACAGTATTCGATTTTATCTGTTATTAAAGAGATACTACAACTTGTTTGCTTTCTCGACCGTGACAAACTACTAAACGCATATGTTTGAAATATTACTCTCTCTGGAAGATCTAACTTGAGAAACATCATTGCCATTTGTGGCTACGTAGTTAAGGAGCGTAGGTGCAATAAGGTTAGACTCACTTGATTCACTATATAAAAAATAAATATTTTAATTTTTGCGATTTCCTTCGTATACCAGATGTAGAAATTTGAAACCGGAATTTTTTTGTAAAAATTACACGTCTGTTGTTTGAAAATGATAAAAAATATTTTATTCAAAATAATGTGCATCGCTATTTATACATTTTTTCCACTTCTCTGGCAGTTTATGAATGCCACGCCAAAAAAACATTTCTTCTTTTAAAGCGAGCCAACTATCGAACCATTTCGTACATTTTCAAACGAATTCAAGCGTTGTTCAGCGAGAGCGTGTCCCATTGGTGCGAATAGATAATAATCGGACGGAGCCAAGTTTGGAGAATAAGCCGCATGCGTTAGTATTTCCCAACTGAACGCTTCGATCGTTTCCCTGACCCGTTTTGCTGTGTGTGATGGGGCATTATCATGGAGCAAAATGACTTTGTGTTGCCTTTTTCCATATTCCGGTCGTTTTACACGCAATGCTCGATTTAAATCGATCATTTGCTATTGGTAGCGATCAGTGTTAACGGTTTCACCAGATTTTAGCAGCTCATAATAGATTACACCTTTCTGATCCCAACAAACACAGAGCATTGTTTTCTTTCCAAAGCGATTGCAATGGATGTCGATGGTTCGCCTGGATTCACCCATGATTTCTGACGCTTAGGATTCTCAAAATATATCCATTTTTCATCACCGGTCATGATACGATGGACTTTCTTTTGTATCTGTCGAGCAGCATTTCACAAGTGGTTTTTCGATTTTCTTACTGTCTTTCATTCAGTTCATGCGGAACCCATTTTCCCACTTTCTCAATCTTTCCCAACGAGGGAAAGGCTTTTGGCTTTCAAACGAATTGAGACAGCTTTCTGTGTCACATTCAATTCATCCGCGAGTTTTTGTTGAGTTTGAGTATCATCTTCATCCAATAAGGCTTGCAATTCGTTATCTGCTAACTTTTTAGGTGGTTTCCCACGCTCTTCGTTTCTCACGTCAAAATCACCACTTTTCAATTTTTAAACCACTCGAAACACTGTGTTTTACCAAGAGCATGTTCACCGTAAACTTCGACAAGCATTCGATGCGATTCTGCAGCAGTTTTCTTCAAATGATAACAAAAAACCAATGCTGTCCGCAAATACCGTAGTTCGTAGGCACAAAACTCGACATGTTTAAGGTTATAGAAAAATATACCGGTGTATGGGACTTGGGTTGTTGTGTGTTGAAAATCTTCGTCAGCTGTTAGAGGGAGATGATGGCGTTGCAGAAGCGGTCTTACGGTCCCTAAACTGATGGCTAGCACCATCTATAGGGAAATTCCGGTTTCATACTTCTACACCTGGTACATACTACGCGCGTAGTCCGGAATTATTCTCTTGTCTTCGTTACGGCATGTCAAGACTAATCGAGTATCTTCAGTACCAACAACTTACAAACATATACAGACGATAGTCACCAGATCTAAGTAACTTTAGTGAAGCGGGTTTAACGCGCGAGTCTGGACTACTGGGCGACAGCAGGAAGCCATACGTTTGATATTATTAACACCATCTCAAGCCGAGAATTTTTTGAGCTATTATCGTACGATCTCTCGCGTTGTGTCGCATGCACTTCTATTCAATTAGGAAATCTTTTCCGACCTTGCATCGTGTAGAGCTTTTCGTGCTCTAATGGCAAGAAGGGCATTTGTTCATCCTGTATCACACGCCGCGCGCGCGGATTTACAAAAGAGGGCGCACTTCTTATTTAAATCGTCCTGATCTTCAACTTCTTCAACTCGGTCCTTCTGATAAGACCGGTCCACTGGCCAGCTCAAAAACTATTCGGGCGCGCGCCAACATTCTGGTTGTCCAATTATTTATTGTTTGTTCGGTTATTATTCGCCGACATTACATATTTTCGCAGCGTGGTTGTGATTTGCGTGCAATATGCATCTTTATCAACGGAAATTGATTCTTTGTTCGACAAGAAAAGGCGGTCTCGGATTAAAACGTGGCTGCCCGCTATCTATGTGGTCGATCTTTCGACGCAACGGGCAAGAACACGACGGCGAGCCTTAAAATGTCCGCCGTTCGCCCAATCGCTGCGCACTACCGATCCACTGCACTGCCCGCGACGATATTTCGCATCGATAAACGTTAGACTCCCGGAACCCAACAGCAATCCACGTTGTCGCAACCGGAATGTATGTAACCGAGTGGCGGGCTGTATACACCGAAAATTTCGCTTAATGGTAGCGGCGTGAGCCGGTTGCCAGATAATTATTTTACTCGGAATTACCAATCTGGTCTTGAACTGTGTTGGATTTTGTTTTTCGAAGCTGTAAATTCTCTGAAAAAAGGACGCGTGTCGCACAGCGAGCTCGATTGATTGCGCATGAACGGAAAGGATAGAGAGAGAGAGAGAGAGAGAGAGAGAGAGATGACTCGTAGTAGTCATTTGTACGGAAATATATTTATTTGCATATAGAACAAGAAAGATGACACTTATAATGTCAATGAAAAAGGCGTACAAAAATGTGATGTACAAATAATAATTAACATAGATCTCCAAACATTAGATGAGCAAAAAAGTTCTGAGCTTTCATACAACCCAACCAATAATTTAAATTTTATTTATTTTCCCACCCTTTTGCGATTTTAAAGCGTTGACATTTGGCTTTCTAAAATGCCATGCGGTTTGACGTTTGATGCACATAATTTCAAAAATCAGTAGTGTGCACAATGACAATAACAAAAGAGTATATTCGATTTTCCGTCTACTTCCGCATTTTATCTGAAGAAAAAATGCAGCTGAAGCCACTAAAACGATTTGGGCTGCACACGGAGAGAATGTTGTAAGCTACGTGTAAAAGACGGTATCAAAAATTTCGCCTAGGAGATTTTAGTCTTGAAAATGAACCGCGTGTTAGGCGCACTCAAAAGATTGAAAAGGACGAATTGCAAGCACTGCTGGATATAAACTCTGCGCAAACTGAAAAGGAGCTTGCAGAACAGTTTGGCGTTACGCGGCAAGCCATTTCCGTACGTTTATACATGGTCTGTCCGGAAAGTAATATCATTGAGTCGGTTAAAAAAAATTTATTGAACTTTTCGTTACAACACATCAAAATTCTTCAAAATAGGCTCCTCCTGCGTTGACACATCGGCCCAGCGAATTTTCCAGGCATCGAATGCGCCACGGTAGGCCTCCTCCGGAATGTCCTTTAAAGCCGCGGTGCAAGCTGCTTGGATTCCTTCAATGGTCTCCAAATGCTTTCCTTTTATGGGTCGTGTCAGGCGTGGAAACAGAAAGTAGCTGCCCCCTGGTACGTCATTACGTCAGTACGAAAATCTGCATCATGATCTTAACGTCCCAATGATAAAGCATGAAATTGCCAAGCGATCATTAAACTACAAAGTCAGATTAGATGAGCACCCAAGAATCTCATGACGGTCACTAACGTACTTAGAAGACTAAAACGTAGGATTCCTTAGGATTTGATACACTACTAAGTGCTAATTGAATTGTGTATGTATCAATGGATATACACCCAACATTTCCTATCTTACCAATACACATATCGCTGAATATTTGACTAGACAAATTGCAATGATACAGATTAGTTATAAAAAAAAAGAAAAGATATAGTTGACAAAAGTTAAAAAAAGTCTATGGAAACAGACGTATGTGGATAATTTCGCATCATTTACATCTATTTCTAAGAAGTATATCAAATTTATATTAATTTTTCAGGAAACAATAATAAATTGCCTTTTTAATACATACCATATTATAGATGTTTGAATTAATATATAAACATGAAATACTAAATTATGTCGATGTTTACTGTATCTACTGTTCTCTTCTTCACATTATAACGTTCATATATGATGTATCATGTATGATGCTTTTTGTCAACAATATCAAAACTTGACATTTCGTGACGACAAAAACAAAAAAGAATTAAAATGTTCTGAAATAGATATGATTATGACATAAGTTAGCTTACTTTAAATGTTGAGGCTTTATCAAAGTTCAATATATCTCTCCGCAAATTTTGAAAAATCTCGATCACTCCGCTTGTCACGAAATTCGCTGGAAGAGAAGAGGAAAGAAGGAGGAAAAAGTTTACGCGGATTAAAATGAGAAACATTTATTTTTAACGTAAATTATATTCAACATGGACAAAACGATTAATCTTGACTAATTGATTTTCATTTTTTTATCTTTTATTTTTCTCTTTTTTCTGTTCAGTCTCCTCTTTTATACTGTTTCCTCACGTCACATCAACGATCGTCCTGCGCACGTACATACATGGTTGTTATATCATCACGTTTGCACACGTAACGTAACGCACTTATGCCACGGCGGATATATTATATCCGTCTCTACCGGCTCCTTCTTGCGACAATCCTCGCCAATCTATAACCTAATCATATAATCACGTTGGAAATATTTACAAGGCACTAGAGATAAATCGTATAGATATTTTTCCGCTGACGTTGGTTCCCAACCTGAGAATTTCTTTCTCTCTCTCTCTCTCTCTCTCTCTCTCTCTCTCTCTCTCTCTCCCCCTCCCTCTCTCTCTCTTATAGATTGCGATTTGTACAAATGTTACATTTTAATTACTTCTTCCTTTGATTTTGTATTATTCCTCTGTTTCTCTGATTTTATAATGTTTTTTTTTTTTACTTTAAGATCAGTCAGTTCTCGCCGGTCACAGCAGATTATCTTTTGAAGGTGCACTCAATACGCACTTGTTCTTTTATAAAAATATTTCACTGCTTTTATTCCACATATGACCCGCTTTTGACCCGTTTTCGATTCGTTCAATTATTTTTAAGCTTATTTCTTATACTCTTAGACACACGCAGTCTATTAAACGAAAGAATATGATATGTATATGCGAGCAAACATAAATATTTTTAAGAAAATTTCTTATCTTCTTTACTAGTTTTCCAGCTGATAAGTGATGGTAAAACTCAATTGAGACAATTGAGAACTATTGACTAAGTAGGAATGAAGACTTTAACTTTCGATCAGTTGGAAACTTCGTACTTCAGAATTTTGATAAAGCAAAGCTTTAAAAGTATGTCTTCAAAGGCCGCAATTTTCGTATTTCGAAGTTTCCAAAGTGAGATTCAAATTAAATATATATGATATATTAGACTGATAAAGATAGATTAAATTGAGATTGAATTGTGACTTAGAATAACATTTTTTAAGTCATAAAAATCTTATAATCTCTATGTTACAAAGCATTGATATTTTTAAAAATTTTAAGTCGTCTCTTATTCTGAAGAAGTGAACTGAAATGTTCACTTAACATTGGCAACAGATTAATGAAGGGCGCTAACAAGAAAACCAAATTAAGTATTTCTCTACAAAGCAAAAGCTTAAAATATCAGGTATTGAAAGTTCAAATACTGAACACCGAAGCTTCAGATCTTCGAAGTATTCGAAATTCGAATGTTAAATTCATACATTCGAATGTCGAAATATTTAAAGGAAAATACTAAATCTAATAGAATGTTATAGAAATCTTTCTGTTCCTCTAATCGAGTTTTTTGTTTGATCTCCGGGCAACAGAAAATTCAATTACCTCAACGAAATTGTTTCTGTGTAAATTCAAGCAAGCTTTTTTTTCGTGCAATTTCATTTGACAACAAAAATTCGGAAAAATGAAAACTGGATTTTGGAATGCGCAAATCATTCTTTCATTCTCCCTTCACATCGAGGTATGCTCGATAATACCTCGACAGCTACATCTTACTTCGAAAGCTAATAATACCGAAAACTCTCGGGGGAAAGGGTAGGGGAAGGGAAGACGAAGGAGATAAACGAATGAAGCTTGAAATATGCTTCATTTATAACTCTTCGCGCAGGATACTACATAAGAGACCTACTGGAGATCCTAATTCTTACGACGTATACTTTTATAATATAATTCTCTACGTCGAATACTGATTATCGCTCTCTAATTTTAATACGACGAATTCTTTGTTATACAGTTGCAGATGGGGGCGTACAGGACAAAGGCGTTCGATGAAATGTGACGTTTCAAAGAAGTTCACTCAACGTGAGAGAGAAACGAAATATATGCACACTCCATGCGATGTCACGGAATCTCTCCTCAATGCGGATTTGACTAAGTCATGATTAAACATATTATATTTTACGGCCCCTCAGGTGATTTTTATATTACTATAACTAGGGACATAGTGATTTAGTGATATAGTCGGTGTTAATATTATCTGGAGGCCCTTGAAAAATAACGCAAGCAGCCGCGGACCGGTTAGATCCTCTTTAAAGTGTAATCAGATCCTTAAGAATCCTGACACGGAATTTAGCCCGTATCAAATTAAATGTTTAAGATTGAGGGTTACGGATTAGAATTAAACAAATCAACTAATTAAGGTTTTTTATTTTTTTGTCCTAATTGTCAAATCTAAATCTTTAATTTGCAATTCACGATCTTCAATATATAGTTTGATACTTTCTAAATGTTTTGGAGTAAAATCTTACTCGAAACGACAATGAAAATACCTGCACTAAACTAAGAAACCCATTTAGTTGACTCAAATAAAATGCTTGTTTAGATATGGGTAAACAAATATTTTGGCTGTGAGAACCAAAATTTGGTTCTCTGAACTAAAAATAAGATTCACTGAACGAAACCTTGCTCATTTTCGTTTTAGAGAGCCAAATTTTGATTCCCTCAAATGACACATTTGTTTGCCCATATAAAAACAAGCATTTTATTTCAGTCAAACAAGTAGGTTTCTCAAGGTATTCATGATGGGATCTTATATTTAAGACCATCTTAAGTTTATCTTCAGATGTTGTTCGGATTATTTTATTGGCTACGAAACATTTGAAAATGAACTTAAGACGGTCTTAAATATAAAATCCGATGAAGTCAGTATTTTTACTGAAAGCGATAGTGATTGCTCGAAATTGCAGAAGTAAATATTTTATTGAAGTTTAGAATAGATTTTGATTTTATACGAGTAGACGTTTTAATCGGTCCAAGTGTATTTTTTCCTGTGACGATAACATCAATTTCGCTTTTTAATTTTGAGCATATATCTTCATTTCACTATTCTGTAGATTTCTCTTTGTAGGAGTGAAGAATCACATGAATTTGAGTAACTATCGCTCTGTTTTTCAAGTGAAATTTCATACCTAGAAATTTAGAAATTTACGGTCTCAGCATATTTGCGCACGAATTCAGAAATGCGAGACCGCTTTGAGACTCACTAAATATTCATGAGTGATCGCGCGGGTCGATCGACCAAAGTAATTAATTTCAGTCGTCAGTAAGTTGTGCATCTTAGTGCCGATAAAAGTGTATCGTAATATATAATATAGTCGATTACGATGAATAAATGAATGAACGAGCGAATGGAAGGACAAAAATCAGAAAAAATCGTCAATTATTTGCTTGACCTTCATGTGCGTACATTACACGGCATATCGTTAATTCATACATGACAATCAATCATTTTGTCAAGAAATTTGCGGACCCACTGCGATATGCTTAAAAATTACGTTTCTCCTTCTCGACTGAATATCACTCGTTGGCTCTTATCACTTTTTGTCCTTTTTCTTATTATTATTATTATTATCGCGTTGTAAACCTCGTCGTGTTAAAAGCCCATTTATTTCGCGTTAATGGATCTATTAACAAATCTCTTATCTTGTCGACGTTCGACATCCTTATGTGAAATGCTCAATGGTGTAATTCAGAATAAAGAGACGACAATAGAAAGCTCGATCAAATAAAATCCTACATAATTTATTGATCAACGAGACAGAGTATACTAATAAATAAATAAGTGTACGTTAAAATTATTATCTGCGCGCTCATATAACTAGACGTCCACGCTCACCTCTGTTGGAGGCCGTTTCTAGGAACTCTCTGAGTCGGCAAGCCGGACAGGCCACGTACATATATGTAGGGTATTGGACTACGTAAGATTCTTTTTGGACTCTTCTTTACGTGCTTCTTTTCCTTTGCGGCGTCCCGCTTGGACGAAATGATTTTCAAGCTTTCGAAAGCTCGTCTCAGCGTCTCCGTGGTGGAGGACCTTTTAAGGGATTCGCTGTCGCTGCTGCTGTGCGCGTATGATGGGCTGGAGGAGTATGACAAGCGCGAGACACCGTCTCGGGGCAAGCTCCGCATGTCCTTCGGGCTCCAGGTACGCTCCAAGGAACGTTGCACGCCGCGATCCTGTGACCGCGTTGACCGGTAAGTCGTCCGCAGCTGCTTCTGGTAGCAGTGGCTACGTGGCGACCTAACCAACCTATCAGGCCGCTCATCGCTGCTCTGACAAAATAGTCGCTCGCCGCTGCTAATACTGCCGCTGCTGCTGCAGCCGCTATCGGTACTGCACTCGTCATCGCCAAACTCGCATACCGGCGTCGTACCGCGATGGTGACGAAAATGATGATAATGATAATGTTGCCGAAGGCGGTGCTGATAATGTTCGCTCAGTTCAGTCAACCGATGTGTCAAGTCCTCCATGTTGCTGGATATCGCACTGAGCGTTCTCGATCGAGGGCTCAAATGATCGGCACTCGATGTGTAGATATGTGTGTACGTATGTATAGTATGTCCACGATTCAAACACAGTGATGCGATAACAGTCGCCGTATGCCACTGGTCACTTTTGTCAAATCACAGACAATATTCTGCGGCGAGCAAACCACAAACGCGATCTCGCAGATGCAAAGAATTGTCGCTGAAAACTATGTTCTACTTTCCGTATTTAGTTCTGCAATTATTCTCCACTGATTATCAACTTAGTCATTAACTGTACGCGATGAATCGTCCGCAGCATATTGCACAACTACGTATGTTCTAATCGCGATATCCTCGTAAATTGTGAATACTCCGCGTAATTTTCCTGTGTTGTGTGCGTGAATCCGCGTTAGAATCCAAATGGGCTCTCACAAAGAAACACTCATAACGAGATATAAGCTCTGATCCCGCTAGCTGCTTACTGTTTTCTCGTGCGACCGACCGATCAATAAATCAATCGATCAACTAGTCACTCAGAATCCAACTGTCGAGACGCTCTTCGTGCTCGGCAGGATGATTTCCCTTGCCTACGGGATTGAACTAAGCCCGTCGCGCTGGCCGCGCGGGCTTTTATTCACTCGAAAGTGAGCGCCGAACGTGCGCATGTTCTCGCTATCCACGTGAAGATACTGTATACGGCGCACTGTATATGCTGCAACAGAGTTAATATAGCGCGGCCATAGTAACCCCTCTCGCGAACGAAGTAATAATTGCAAGTAATAATCGCATATAGTCGACGGATATAAAGCACTGCATGCCGCGACGAAAAATTTAAGATTACGACCTGCATCAAGAAAAATAATTCAAGACATCAAATTTTACCAACAATTGGTACAATTGGTACAAAGTATTTTTTAAAATACTATTTAATATTTTAGTTGATTTCTGAGGTCATACTATAGGATACAAAATAACGACGACAAATAATTTTCATAGTAAAAATTATTATATCGAAAAAGTTAATAAACCAACAATTAACGACAATGATGTGCATCTTAAGTAACAATATATTTAAAGGAATTCAAAGTCGCTGTCTTTCATTTTGATACACAGCTACAAACGCTTAGTGGAAGTTTCGCCCATGCGCCGTATTTCTTTCAACTATATATAAAATATATTATAAATATAAAATATATAATATATATAAATATATATATATATATACACGTCCGCGAACTTCTTATGATACCGGGATTAAAATATTACCAGACCGTTGGAGGAAGTGTGTAGATAAGATGGGGGACTATGTAGAAAAATAAGAAAAATGTAAGTTAGAATTTATTTTGAAAAATATATAGTTTTTTTGCAAAAGGCTCGTTTATATT